GCACTACTGGATTTCTCCAATCACCTTTTATAGTATAAGGTGTTATTAACCCTTTTTGTGACACTTTAACATCTTACAATTTGTGGTATGTCAAGCAATGTTTGCCTTGAGAAGGATCTAAGAGCTTATTTCTTCATAACTGCATCTCTAAGTCAGATACCCACAATATAAGCTGTTATAAAATGTCACCAAGTCTATTTCCCAATAACATGTATGTGCGTTGAATCATGGACATGCTTTCAACATGGGGCAGGCATTGCCTTGTCAAAGTGCAGATGCCAACAATATTGCTATGTTTGTTGGAAGTGTTTGAGCCAATGTTGGGAAACCCTATTATGTATAAACCATGACAGGAGGAACCTTCCACCAAGCAGGTGATGAATGAACTCGGGGAGGCCAGTGGGGTCTGGCCAGAGGGCCACTACAGATGGCCAAAGAGAGTCGGACATGATTGAATTGATAACATTATCAGGTTTCAGTTTTGTCAGAACTGGTAAATTGTACAAACTTATTTTCAGGCAGGGAAGCCCTCCCTCAAAAGCAGCCTTTTGATCTGATAAAGATGATATGCTGGTAACTTTTCCTTAACCTAAGAAGATTTGTCCCAACTTGAAAAGAATTTTCTTCCAGTTTCCAACTTGGAAGGTAATACAGTTGCCTTCCAACCCTGAACATTGGCTCAATTATATCTTAAGTGTACAGGTAATCCTTCAGTTACGAATGTAAAGGAGCCTGCCAATTAGATTTGTAACCTGAAGATTCGTTGGAGTGAATCATATCAAACGAACATGATCACTCCCTGCTTTTGCCCACACATTCTCTAATTGAATGTGCAGGTTGTTAAGCACATGAGGTGGGGAAGGCCATGGGGGCCCTAGCGATGGAAGAGGCCACCTGCTTCAGACCACTCAAGGTCTCCCCCCCCACACCTACTGAGATACCTCATGCTCCCTCCCCTGGGATTCCCACAATTGCTCCCCCTCATCCTGTCACGTTGGGTCATTTATGCTGGTGAAGATATAACAAGCTGTCTTCTCTCCAGCCTCTGCCGCAGTTTTGCAGTCTGTTTGCAGTCTTGGTGCGAAAAGCTTTTGCAAGCCAACGAGACTTAGGATCAGCGAAATCGCATTGCTTCAAGCCTCCCATTGATTTGCAAATGCTTTTCGTGCCGAGACCGGAAGCTTCTGGGGGCCATGATCTCATGTAATCTAAACCCTAACTCTAACATACTGTAGTACAAGATCATGCAAGATCAGTAGCACGTGAGGGGGGAGGGAATAGGCAGGGCGAATGTTGCAGTGCCTTTGTGGTCATTCGTAACTGTGAATGACTTCCATGGTGCTGTAACATTCGTAACTTTGGGAACTGTCCTTGGGGGGGGGGGTGTTATGTCATAATTTCGCTAAGTGAACTGTCGTAATTTAAGGATTACCTGTATTTTTGCAAAAATTATGGCATCCACTACATTTTGTAAGCCTTTGGACCTGAAAACAATTGGATTTATAATCTCCACTCGGCTGGAACGCTTTTAAATCTTACCACATTTATTGCATGCATATTTGTCTTTACACTAGGTAGCTTACAAACTATAGCTATGTTGTCTTGCACTCATAGTCTCAGTCTGGCACTACTGAGCCTGTGCCTGTCATTCTATGTGTGCTTTAGGGTGAACCTGAGGACCGCCCACCATCTCACCCAAACTTAATTTGCTTGTGCTGTGCTGTTCCACGAAGGAGCTATGTATATAGACTCCAAAGCACCATCAGTCTTGCCTTATACTACATTTTGTGCAGCTCCTTGAGGGGCCATAAGTTACCAGGTCTGCCTCAGAGCTTCCTTGGGGGAGTCCAGGGATTTTGGGGGATGGGTTTCTTGGACATTCTGCAGCTACTTCACAGTCTTCTTCTCCCCTGCTAGATTCTGGAGTGTTTTGCAGAATAGTGACTGAGGGCTTTTGTTGTTAGCCTCTGAGAGATGCAGCTACACTCTCAATTTTTATTCCATCATGAATTTATATCAAGGGTTCCATGGAATAATTTGAAAAGGCACTGTTTTAATGTACCAATGTGAGGCTGGAATCTCTGAGTTCACAGAGATTCTCTGAGTTTGAAAAACCTTCCTTGTTTTCTGAAACTGTTTTCATTTGTATTATTTATGCAGAAGTTGTCGTTCTGTTTCTTGTTTCCTCTAACAACTTCCTGACATTCTTTGTGAAGTTACTTCCTGAGATTGTTTTATTATTTGACATTGGCTTCTTTTTTCTTCTTGGCAATTTCCACCATTTGTTCTGACATCCAGTTTGTTTTCTTCTGTTTCTTCATCTTTGACATTCTCTTTTCACTGTCATCCTCAACAAATGCTTTGATTTCATTCAGAGATCCTCTGGTTCTCTGAAAGGTTCAGGACTTTCAAACGATTCCTGATGTTCTCCTTGAAAACATTAGCTATACACACATGCTCTTAACCAGGCTTTTGGTGAGGTAGCGCGAGGCCCCCTCCCTTCATTCCATCTGCTTTCTTACAACGGGCCTCCTTTTAGGGTTTATAGGTTTTATTGTTAATTCCTTTGACTACATTGTCAGGCAGCACACAAGTTTAATAAACCACTAGTTGCTGTTATCACATTGTGGAACTAATTGGCTTTCTTCTGCAGTTTTAGCTTGATTTGGAACTTGTACATGAGCAGCTTCTGATGTGTTTCAGTCGGCACCTGGCCAGGTCTTTGCTCTTACACCTGAGCTCTTCTACTTCCTTCCTATAATCATTTTGGTTTTTGTGTTCACTATGCGATGTCAGCAGGGCTTGACATGCAACGGATGGTAGTTTCAACAAACATGCAGTGGCATATTTGGTGGTGTATCTGGCCAATGGAGCCTCTTTTTAGGTTAACTTCCCCAAGCCAGATCAATTTCTACCTCTGTTTCTTGTCTTGCCTTATGGTGCTTTGGAAAATAAATTGACCCCCTCGTCTTTGTGGCAGCTCCATTTGTCCAGAATGGGATGGGTTCTGAGCAGGGGCTTGGACTAGAAGATCTCCAAGTTCCCTTCCGTCTATATTCACAAGTGCCTTTGAATAAAATTTGTCAAGTTATCAAAACACTTTGTTTTTCCCCCACTCTGAGTAGTCTGACAGAAAGTAACTACCCAGAAAGTAATTTCCCTGATGCTTATTATGGCAATTTGCAGAAGTTTCATTTCATCTTTCTGTGGGTTGAGCTTCCCCATGTTCTTATGTTTCATTTCTGCCTTTGCAATTTCAGATCTTTTCCTCTATGGCATCTCAAAGGCTTTCACTGAGCCATGTTGCAAACACCATTAGCATCCTGAAAAATCCTCAGCTCTTCTTCGGCATCTGGAGGGCCATATGACCTGAGCAGCCATCAGCCAGCACTGCACCCTCAATTGTTTTATATTTTCCATCTGGTTTCCTTGATCAAGATCCAGGAGTGGCTTACCATGGCCTTCTCCCATGCATTATTGCCACAAAAGGGACCTTCTGCTCCCAGCATCTGCTTCTATCACTGTTGCCCCATAGTGAGGCCTGCTGGCTTTAGCTGGGCAGCTGGGATGAGCTTCAGGCCTTGGGTGACCCTGCTGAGAGGCACACCCTTGGCATACACCCCTGGCCTTCCTCACCCACCCCTCCAGCACGTGCGCACACACACACAATTCATTGAATTGCTGGGAGTATCTCAAAGTACTTTAAGCCATTCCCAACAATTTTCTCCAGCAAGGTAATTCAGAAGTCATTTTTTCCCAATCACCCTTTCCCAGGCTTTCACAGCCACGTCATTTTCATGGGGGAGGCAGCCTGGCTCTGGCAGTGTAGCTCCTTAGTTCAAAGGTGCTTTTCAAAGGTGCACCCTAGAGGATAGGCTCAAGATCCAGGTGGATCTTGACAGGCTTGAACCCCGGGGCCTATCTAACAAAATGAAATTCAATGTAGGGAAAGTAAAGTCTTACACTTAGGCAAGAAAAACCAAAAGCACACGTATAAACTGGGGGAAACCAGGCTTAATAGCAGTAATGGTGAGAGGGATCTTGGAGTCCAAGTGGACAATCAGCTAAATATGAGCCAGCAGTGTGGCGGCAGCTAAAAAAGCCAACACAATCCTAAATTGCATTAACAGAGGGATACGATCAAGGGAGGTACTAATACAACTCTATAAAGCCCTAGTAAGGCCACACCTAGAGTACTGCATCCAGTTTTGGTCACCACATCATAAAAAAGATGTTGAGACTTTAGAAAAAGTGCAGAGAAGAGCAACCAAAATGATGAGGGGACTGGAGACTAAAACATATGAAGAACAGTTACATGAACTGGGCCTGGCTAGTCTAGTGAAGAGAAGACCAGGGGAGACATGATGGCTGTCTTCCAATACTTGAGGGGCTGCCACAGAGAGGAGGGGGGTAAAGCTCTTTTCCAAACCACCCAAAGGCCAGACAAGGAACTATGGATGGAAACTGACCAAGGAAAGATTCAACCTAGAAATGAGGAGGAACTTTCCGACAGTGAGAACAATCAACCCATGGAACAGAAGTTGCCTTCAGAAGTTGTGGGAGCTTCATCACTGGAGACTTTCAAGAAGAGACTGGACCGCCATTTGTCAGAAATGGTATAGGGTCTCCTGCTTGGGGGTGGGGTTGGACTAGATGACCTACGAGGTCCCTTCCAACTCCATGGGCTCTTGGTTTTTCTTCGAAAACCTTTTGCTTCTCATCCCAGAAGCTTCCTCAGTTCAAGACAGCCTAGTTGACTCCATAGTTGTTTCTGAGTTCCAGTTCAGCCTTTTGCGGGGAGTTCCGGAGACTCCTGCGCGGCTTCCGCTGTTTGGCCGGGTGTCCCACGCGGGCCTGCAACACTCCAGCCTCTTTGGGGACAAGGCGCAGCCCTCGTCGGCTCCGCTCTCCGGCCAGGAGCCCGGCGAAGGCCACCCAGCGCGGCTCCCCGGCTCCATTGGGCCCCCTCCGCCCCGAGAGCCGCTCCGGGCCGGTGGGAGAGCAGCTTCCGAGGCGCAGGAAGGGGCGGAGGCAGCGCCCGGGCCTCGGTTGCCCAAGGAGCCGCCCAGCCCCTCCGCCACTTCCGAAGAGCGCCGCTCCAGCACTCAGCCCGTCCCGCGCCCAGCATGGCCCCGCGGGCGCTGCCGCTCTTGGTGCTCTGCTCCGGGCTGGGACTCGGCCTCTGCGCCGCCGGCAGCAGCTCCGCCACAGGTACGCCGCGGCCCCCCGGCAGGGCAGGGCAGGGCAGGGCAGGGCAGGGGAGGCAGCGCGGTGCCTGCGCACTCCTGGCCCGCTCCCGACCTGCGCTTTTCCTCCCGCAGGCGAGCAGCTCTTCAAGGCGTGGGCCTCGCAGGTAAGCGGCCTCTGCCCAGGAGCCACGGCGGGACCGGAGAAGCGCCCGTCCCCCCTCCCCTCCTCCCCTCCCCGGGGGCGAGCGGGGCGGATTGGGGAGGGGGAGGCGGGCGGGCGGGCGGGGGAGGGGCCGGCTGGAGGCGCGTCCCGGGAAGTCCCCTCCTGCTCGCGCCCGCCGAAGCCTCGCCTCGCTTTCGCTTTCTCTTTGGTGCTGCAGCACCGGCGGGAGTACCGCTCCGAGGAGGAGTTCCGGCACCGGCTGCGGATCTTCCTCGACAACAAGCAGAAGGTCGACAAGCACAACGCCGGCAACTCCAGCTTCCGAAGTAGGGGCGATGCTGCCCCCCCCCCGCCCGGCTTCCTTTGGCGGCTAAGAAAAAAGGGAGCGGGAGCCCCTCCTGACGCCTCCCCCGTTTCTCTCTCCAGTGGGCTTGAACCAGTTCGCAGATATGAGCTTCCCTGAATTCAGGCAGAAGTATCTCTGGCGTGAACCCCAGGTAATGCCACCTGGCCCAACACTCAGCAGATGTGCCCTTAATCCCATCACACCCCACCCAGACCCCAATCTGCTAGAAGGGCCACCCTTGACCTTGGAAACCTTGCAGACATGCAGGCTTCAACTCCTACAATTCCCCAGCCGGTATTGCTAACAGCTGAATTCTGGGATTTGAAGTCCAGGCGTCTTAAAGTTGCCCAGGTTGAGAAATGAGGGGCTGGAAGTTAACCTCTCAGTCACATTTGGGATAAGCATTAAAAGTGAAAGGGGAGGGGGGAACCAGAGCAACAAGGGAAGGCTTCTCACCAGAATTGGGGCACTGCCAGCCCTTTTAATGCTATTCCTGCTCCTTTGTATCCAAAGCAGATCCTGCACGAGCCGAGCCACAGCCCGTTAGTTTCTCCTGTTCAGATATAGAGGTGCCTCACAAAACCCCAAAGCTGCCCCACATGGGGGGTAGGGCATTACAGTACAGAGGGCTGCCATGAGGGAATTAGCCCCCCAATCCTTTATTTGGCCCCACTCACGAGAAGCAGGCTAGCTGTGGTGGCCAGGGACCCACCCAGAGCTTCCTCAGAGTGGTCTGTTCAGGCACGGGGAGACCGAGATGAGCTGGCCCGATGGGGCTCATCTGCTGGCCAGTGACTGCTTCCCACTTGCCTCCAGAACTGCTCTGCTACCATGGGCAACTTCCCCAGGAGCTCTGGGCCCTACCCGAGGGCCATCGACTGGAGGAAGAAAGGAAAGTTTGTCAGCCCTGTGAAAAACCAGGTAATTAGGTCAGCCATACACAATCCGTACAGCCGCTCATCCCAACAAGGGACTCTGGGCAGCCAGCAGGGCTTAAAAAGGGGGGTGAGCTTCCCTCTGGCCTTTGGGAGCCTTGCCAAAAAGCTGGGTGATGGGATCTTCTCATGCCTCTCCTCTCCCTCTGCCCCCCCTCCCCCCCAGGGCCCCTGTGGCAGCTGCTGGACCTTTTCCACCACCGGCTGCTTGGAGTCTGCCATTGCCATAAAAACAGGGAAGCTACTGAATTTGGTGAGGATGTTTGTTTGCGCTCCGTTGCATTGAAAGATTTTGGTGAAGTATAACCAAGGGCCATTTGGAATAGGGCCTGCTCTATTGGATAAAGCCAGAACCATACCAGTCAGCATAAGCAGAGGAGATTCCATGGCTGAAACCCACAGCCCCCCTTGCAAGTAATCCTGGGGATCCTTCCAGTCTCACAGGCGTCACTTGCAGCTCAGCAGGACACACTTTGTGCTACTCTCTTGGAGATGCTGCTCCTGACCCAAACTCATCAGCACCCCACTTCTTCCAAACAGGAGGCTGCTTGTACAGGAGCAGATAACCGGGGGCCAAACCCCTACCTGGGAAACTGCAGCCTTCTCCTGCCAAGGCCGGAGGGGTGGGTGGGGCGGGGGCTTTCATGCTGTGTGTTTGTGGCAGAGAGAGCAAGCAGCCCCGGCTGAGCCCCAGCCCAGCAGTTATTATTCTGCCAAGGCATCACACTCTCCTTATTTTCCCCTCGACCACCCTGTGAGGTTTGATGGGCTGAGAGAGCAAGTGACTGGTCCAAAGTAACATAGCCACCTTTCATGGTTATGGCAGGACTAGAACTCTGTCTCCCACTTTCTAACCTGGTGTCTTCACCGCTTGACTTCAACATGTGAGACCCTCTACACCAGTAGGGCTGCCGAGGAGCAAGGTGGACGCAAGCTCTTGCAGAGCAGCCTGGCCCCAAGTGTCTACTGTATATGGTGGGCTTTTATCCTGGGCTTCAGTTTGATCACAGTGGGCATGTGGGCAGCCTCGGCCCTACAGGGGCAACTTGAGGACAGGCTTCCTCAGGTGCCAAGCACAGTGGCAAAGAGCTGGGAGGGCCCCTTGTCTGCAAAAACCCCCAGCCTCTAGGAAAGAAACTGGCACTAGGTAAGGCAGGGCGGGCTGCTAGAGACGGGCAGGAAGGCTGGCTGGGCCTGAAACAGGCCCTCAGTGTGTGGCTTTCCAAGGCTGGCAGTCTTGATTCAACATGTCTCCTCTCCCAGGCGGAGCAGCAGCTGATTGACTGTGCTCAAAACTTCAACAACTTTGGCTGTAATGGGTAAGAGAGGCCCTCAGGAAGCATCCTCCCCCATCATTCCATTCCACTCTCACCACCCCAGGCAGCTTTGGCCTCTGGGGTTCCCTGCAAAGGGTCCACATGGTGAGGCTGTACCTTCCCTCCGCAGGGGACTCCCCAGCCAGGCTTTTGAATATATCCTGTACAACAAGGGACTCATGGATGAAGAGGGGTACCCTTATCAGGCTAAGGTATCGGGGGGGGGGGGTGTTCTCTGACCCAAGGCGAGGGGGGCAAGTTGCCTCTTCTGCAAAACCACATCTAAAAAGGCTCTCTGGTTATGTGCAGAATGGCACCTGCAAGTTCCAGCCTCAGAAGGCAGTGGCGTTCATCAAAGACGTGGTCAACATTTCACTGGTGAGCAGAGACTTGTAGAGGCCAAGCAGCAGCCAAAAGCCCTTTGTTCCTTGGGGGACCAACCTTCATCTCGTGCCCCACAAAGCGGAGGCCCAGGGCACTCCCGGCAGTCTTCCTTGATTGCCCTTTCCTTTTAAAGAGATTAAGAGACTTGAAAATGGCCTGCTTCTCACTTGGGTTTGCTCTGGCAACTTGGTGGGAAGCCATGTCCCCGCTTTCTGCAGATGCTCAGAGGCCCTTGCACAGTAATGCTGGGCCTCTTTCTTTCCAGTACGATGAGCAAGGCCTGGTGCAAGCAGTGGGCACGTACAACCCAGTGAGCATTGCCTTTGAAGTGAAGGACGACTTTGTACTCTATCAGGAGGGGGTTTACACCAGGTGAGTCCCTGTTGGCGCACCCCGGTTTGCTTCATGCTCCATCATCAGCCTCTTCCCAGCAGGGCTGCCTGAAGCAGCACTCGGGCAACCCCCTGCAAGAATGCCCCCCATTCCATGGCCCCTCAGATCCCCACCAGAACTCCCAGGCACCCATTACAGGCACATGCTGAATTGAGAGATGGCAAGCAAATTGGCCAGCTGGGCAGAGGCACTAGAAACAGGTCCACATGAAAGGGAAGTGCCCGTTTCGGGCTTCACACTTTTTTTTTTTAATTTGATTTATATGCCGCCCTTCTCCGAAGACTCAGGGCGGCTTACAATGTGCTCAGCAATAGCCTTCATCTTTTTGTATATTTTATACAAAGTCAGCTTATTGCCCCCACAACTGGGTCCTCAATTTACCTACCTTAGAAAGGATGGAAGGCTGAGTCAACCTTGAGTCTTGGTGAGATTCGAACCCTGCAGTAATTGCAGGCAGCTGGTCTTAATAACCAGCTTAATAACAGGGTGCCTTAAACCCCTGTACTACCAAGGCTCTTCTTCTTTCTCTTCTTTCTCTTCTTCTTACTTCTTTGAGGCATTGTGCAGCCCTAGATTTCGGCTACATGCTCAAAGGAATCACTTCCAGGATTTCTTGATTCCAGTCCTGTTACTTCACTTTCTTTGATCAGCCTGTAACTTATCAGTCATATGCAAATGAGCTGATCTTATAAAACCCTTTAGCTGGGGTCCATGAGTCCATGTCCTGCTAAGTGCCAAACCCCAGCTGAGACCACCTGGCCTCTGTTCCCACCCAGCCAGCGCAAGGCCCAATTCCTTTTCCTCCGTGCCCCTCCCTCATCCAGAATCTACCCTGTGACACGGTTGCCCTTTGGGACAATAGGAACAAGGCTTGACATCTTCAGGTACTTGAAAATGATATTCCCTCCTCCCATTGCTTCTTTTTCCAAGTCACCCTATTCAGTTCCCTTTTTCCCTCATAAATTTTGTTCCCAGACCCCTACGCAACTCGCTATCGTGTAAACTGTTCCCTAAAAATGTGGTGCCCCAAGCCTGGCATAACACTTAAGTTCCTGTGCAGAAAGCCCCTCACTATTCCTTCCTATGATCTAGAAATTAAATACGTTGATTTATCTTTAAACTGTATTTGCCTTTTTTGCATGCATATTACACAGCTGGCACATAGTTTGCAATCGGCCACTATTCCAAACCTGAGTTTCGCCCCAGCCAAATAGCGGCCGTTCAGAGACTTTGTTTCCGTTTCTGCCTTTGCATCTAACTGAGCAGTCCAAGGAAGCAGCGAAAGGAGAAGAGCGCATCTCTTGGGCTTCGGCTTCTCTAAGAACGGAAGCTTCCCAGAGGGCATCTGGTCGGGCCCTTCGTGACCATCCCGACGCTTTTCCCTGAGGAGGCCGAGGGACCAGCGGGCTTCTTTCCCTCTTGGACTCGCACACCGGCGGCTAAAGCAGAGCGTCTCTCTCCCCACAGCACGGAGTGCGACCGAACCCCGGACAAGGTGAACCACGCCGTCCTGGCCGTGGGCTACGGGGAAGCGGACGGCGTGCCCTTCTGGATCGTCAAGAACTCGTGGGGGCCCTCGTGGGGCATGGACGGGTAATGCAGGCAGCGCCCCCGCCCCCTCAGCCTCGCAGGGGCCTCCGCACAAGCCGCGGCCCCGGCCCCAGGCGCGAGAAAGTCGCCTCCCGAGGGGGACCCGCCTCGGCTCTCATCCCGCGGCTTCCCGGGAGTCAGCGGGCGGGGCGCTTCGGGGCCAGCAACGGGCGCTCCGAGGGGCTCCGGCGCCTGAGGCTCTACTTTGCCCCGGCAGGTACTTCAACATCGAGCGCGGGAAGAACATGTGCGGCCTCGCCGACTGCGCCTCTTTCCCGGTCCCCCTGCTCTGAGGCGACACGGAGCCCCGGGTGCCCTCGACGGCTCCGGCAGCGGCGCAGGCGCACTCCGCGCGGCGGTTAATAAAGGCTTCAAACCGAGAATACGCGTGTGGGCGTGTCGAGGGGGCGTGGTCGCTGGGCTCGCCGGAAGGTCCTGACGTCACTTCCGTGCGCGGGCGGGGCCTGCGGGCTCCAATCGGGCGCCTCCGGGCCGGGAAGGCGCGACGTCCGAAGCCTCCGCCGCGATGGCGGCCCTTCCGCGCAACAACCTGCGGGAGCAGCTGCAGCGCCACTCGGCCAGGGGCGTCCCCGGCCCGCCAGCCGCGCCCAGGCCCAGGCCCGCGTGAGTCGAGTGGGCGCTCGCCAAGTAGGCGGGACGGGGGGCCGAAGGGAGGCGGCACGTCGCTCCGGGCGGGGCGGTTGCCGCTGGCGAGGGAGGCCTCGGTGCAGGCGGAGGCCTTGCAAGCCGCGCAGGGGCCGCCCAGCCAGCCTGCCCTGCGGCTGCTCGCCTCGCGTGGAGCCCCCGGCCTTTGGCGGAGGCCGCCGAGGAAACCGGGGCTCCGGCGGGAGGGGCTTCCGGGACGGAGGAAGCGGGGGGAGCTGGTCCTGCAGCCGCCGCCACCCTTCCCCAGTGCGCCCACGACGGCCGGCCGGGGCTGCTGCCCTCTAGGCGGCGGCAGCTTCCAGACTTTCCCGTAGAGCGCCGTGCGGTGACCGCCTCGGGGTGACCGAGCGTGGGCAGCGCCTGCCAGCCCAGGAAAAGGCGCGACTGGAAGAGAAACCTGGGCGCCTCCCCTCCGTGGCTGCCCCACCCAAAGGGACGCGCCTCGGTTGCACCCCGTTTTCTTTGGGAAAGTGCAGTTGAGTCCAGAGTCAAAGGTGGAAACAGTAGATCGGTGGGGCTCCCAAACCCAGAATCCCCTCAGTCTTGTCAGGGTTAAGCTGAAGCCTGTTCTTCCCCGTCCAGACCCTCACAGACACCGAGGCCGAATCTCCTGTCTGAAGGAGAAAACAAGCTACCGGCTAGATCAGTGGTTCACAAACTTTTTCAGTCCACCACCCCCTTGGTTCTACAAACTCATCCTCAGTGCCCCCCACCCCTATAAATAGCATTGTTCGGAATAGTGGTTTGCAGGACCCACTAAGGAAGATAGTGACAGTAAATTTCAAAACTAACAATTAATTGCACATTTATTCAAAATCCAATTTAAAAATCTTTTGTTAACTCAACAAAATTGTTGAACACAATCCAGTGATACCAGGTTTTCAAAGTCTGATAGTCATTTATCAAGAACCTTAGTAACTACTAATTTAGTAAACTCAGTAAAATTTAGTAACTACTTCACTGTTCAGTAAATTTTTAATGTGATGGATGGGCTTGATGAAGTGATACCAGTTTCCCAATGTCTGGTTTTAAGTCACTTAGCAGGAGTCTTAAATCACCACTCCAGTAATCTGGAGTCGATTTCTTTGCTTGGAGAGAAGTTGGATGACCACAGTGAAACCATGTTCCACCAAATATGATATTGCAAATGCAACAAGGAGTTTCTTAAACCACTGTCCATAGTGCAGGATAGCAACCAGAAATTTCCTTCTGTAACCAAAACTCTTGGTACGATTTCTTAAACTTTGGCTTCAGCTCAATGTCATTTTGCAGCTCTGTTAGTTGTTCCTCCACTACCCCATCTTCCTCAGTATCTGAAAATGGATTTTATCACCCAATCTGGAATTTCCATCAAAAGAAGATCCTGATATCACTCAGACATATCTTTATGCAGCATGTCCAAATAGTCACAAAAACCTTGCAGATCATCTTATATCCTACCTTTCTCTTCTAGCTCAGACCAGCTCAGAAATTGGTATAGCTCGCAATGGCCTATATTGCGCTTGAATAGAGTTACTTTGAAATAAATGTAAAGATGACAAATTTGGCCTTAATAAGATTGACTCGTTTCCTTGCAACTGCAAATTCACTTCATTGAACTTTGCAAACAGTTCTGATAAATAAGCAATCTCATGCCTGATCTCTTTGAGTTCATCACTAAGATAATGACTGATGGCCACCTAATGTCTTCACTTCTGCAGATTCTCAAAGATTTCTGAGACCAGTGTTGAATACTTAAATTTCAGTAGTCACCAATCCCAGTCTTAAAATGAGTTTAGAATCAGTGGGAGTCACTGATAACAATGAACTACTAGCTACTGATAATGAGTCCAGTCCTGCCTTTCTTTTCCTTCTGTCCAAGTTTTGCAAGTACTTTTTCCAAGCACATGTTTTATTCCACAGTATACAAACCATTATTGTTAGGGGAAAAATTGCTCTTCCAAGCAATTTTAAAAGACACTGTCAGAATGACTGCTCCCCCCCACACACACACACACATGGCAGCCCACCTGGATCCTCGGCAGGGGGGCAGCAGGCCTGGCTGGCCGCATACTAGCCATCCTGGGAAGGCCTCTGGTGACATCGGGGTCTGCGGCAAAGCGACCGATTTCTCCGAATGCCTCTTTCTTACCGTTATAAGGGGACGGGCTGCGGTGCGCAAACTTCGAAAGCTGTTCCGCTGCTGCCTGCACCGCTTGTTTGGAGTTGGTTTGGAAAGGGAAAAAATGCAGCCGAATTAGGCAAGACACGCCTCACCCAGATCCCTCCAAACGGCTCTCCCTACAGTAGCCTTCCCGCTGAAAAGCTTTCCTGCTTCTCCTCTGCCTGCATTCTGTTACAGGCTCTGCACCCAGGTAGCGGCCGGTGGCCCTGGGGAGTGGCATCTTGTTGGTCTGGGCGGGGGGGTGCAGAGCTGGCAACAGTATGCAGGTAGAGAAGTCAGAAGCGCTTTTCGCGCCCCCAGCTCATTCGCTGCAAGAAAGAGCAGGCGCTCGGAAGAACGGGCTCTGGGTGGGTGGGCGCTCACTATTGGGTCGCGTAGTTCAGCGGGAGGCTACCGAAGGGAGACCCATTTGGAGGGATCTGGGTGGGGCATGTCCCGCTTAATTCGGCTGCAGTTTTTTTCCTTTCCAGACCAGCTCCAAGCAAGCGGTGCACAAACTTCAGCAGCTCTTGCACCGCCACCTGCACCACTTGCTTGGAGCTGGTTTGGAAAGGAAAAAAACTGCAGCCGAATGGTATCACCTATGCTGAGATGTGGAGTTAGGAGGAAAAGGGGAGCAGTGAAAGAGAGACACCAGCAGGAAGCAGACATAACTAGCCAAGCTGAAGGATTAATTCAAGACACCGTGACTTTAGTTACATTAAATGGTATGAAATCTGCTGAGTTTCAACTTGGCTTTTTAAGGACAGACTTGAAATCCTTTTTCTTAGGGATTGCTACCATGAGGTCAGTGATGGGGTAGCTGGGTGGGGGGAGGGCAGGTGCGGGGAATATTCTGCCAGGAATTTGAGTCTGTTGCCACCTTTACATCAGAAATGTGTTTCTTTTGCATAGAGACTGACTGGGTTGCCTAATGTAAAACATAACAGGGCATTGCTCTCAGCCTTGCCAGGTACTTCAGATAAGTCAATACTTTTACTTAATTGTAAAGCAGAACCAAAATACAGTTGTCCCACTGAAAAGACTTTCAGTGATTGTCCCACTGTCACCTTTTACAGCCTGATAACTCGAGGTGGGTTGGTCTCTTCTGAGCTACTTGTTCTGCCCACTATTCAGCTGCGGGTAACGCTGTCTCTTATCTGACAGCTCCCTAGGCAGCATCTCCCCCCCCCCCCAAATACCATTACATCTCCTTACAACTTGCTACATTGGAGGATTAGCTTTGAGGAACTTGTCAAATGTCCCATTTTTTCAGGGCTGCCATAACTCTGAACAGATACACACTATAGATTTAAAGTAGGCATTTTTTAAAATTACAATAAAAACTATCCACCGATTGAAAACCTATCAACCAAAATATAAGAGTTCAAAGGAATAAGGTGCAAAATAGATGTAGAAGAGAAAAAAAACAACAGAATGTCACTTGACTTTTGTTTAATATGTGGTCTTTTTTGGTTAAAGGGCAAAATGACTGGCTAAAGTCTAAACTTACCCATTTTTGCAGGGGTTTTATATTCAGAAAGATGAATTGCCTTGATGACTGCGCATCAGGATATCTGGGTGGAACAAAACCTCTGGCCTTGAAGGACAAGAATATCAATTCTTCTTTGGAAAAACAAAATGGAATTAAAAATAAGCAAGCCAAAATTAATGTGCTGTTTGAAACAACACTGAAAGTTCAAAAAGGAAAACAAGCGCATTCAAATGATCAACAGGTCAATAATTTAGATTGTTTTATCTCCTCTGTGAAAGAAAGTGATGCGGATTGCAAAGGGGGGGGATCTGAGATCCCAACCCCAGACCATAATTGTTCAAACAACTCATTTATTGACCTTACTGATATTTGGGATGACATGGAGGACTTTGAAACAACTGGACCACAGAAAATATGTCCACAACAGTCTGTATCATTTCGAGATAAGCTGTCTGTATACAATAGAAAGACTGCAAAAAGCCCCTCTACCAGCAAGCCAAAGATATCTATCACAGGAAGCGAGAATGAAAAATGCAATTTGTATATTTGTACAAATAGGAAAACACAAACACTTCATAAGGAACAAGAGGGAGGCAGCCTGCCTGTTCCTTGTCTTGATCCTTCTAATTCCAGTCAAAGAGATTTTTCAAATGGAGAACGTGAAGAGGAGAAGTCTTTGGAAAGTCTCCAGGCAGAGAAAAAAGAAAAATCTTGGATTGGTAAATGCCCTTTTTCTAATCAGTTCTGTAATAGGGGGATAACTTCCAGGAAAATGAATTTACTACAGCATGTGCCCCTTAAAAAGCTAGACTCTCAAATGAAGCTTACTTCCTCTTATTTTATGAATTTAGGTTCTCATTAGTTCCTCTGGGATGTTTTCCAACTTCCCAGGCTAACTTAGAACCTTGAAATTCCTCATTAGGTCCCCAACTAAGAGCTAAGCAGTCCCAATGCTGCTCATTTTCCAGGGCTAGTCAAGGTGACGGTGTTTGTGTAGATCTTCTGCCATGGTGCTCCTTCCCCAGGAGCTCACAGCAAATGCCATCTGGTTTCACATCAGCTGCATTAGGGAAACCAAT